AAAAAAAAAAAAAAAATTTCCCATACGGTCTGTAAGTGGATCTGTCCTACACTATGCATCAGAATATCCTATCATTGATCAATCAAACCTTCTATCCTGCTCTTACCAGTTTTCTGTATCATTTTTTTTTTTGAGTACCACACTTAATAGACAACCATCCTATACCTAGTTCAAAATCTCTTTTACAGTAAAGTACTGTTGGTTTTTAATGTTTTCTCTGTAGGATAATGCTTGTTTGCTCCCTCAGTCTTTTTGTCTGTGTAGTATACCATAGTACCACCATACTTCCTTGTTTATATTAATAGTATGGCTTCTCTCCTATGACCTGCTGAAATTTATGTCTTTTTGTATCTTTCTCCTAGACTGAGGTATCTTGACTAGGTACTTTATTTTGCTTATGTTAAGATGCCTCTGGCTTAGCTGATGCTCAGTAAGTATTTGTTAGATAAATAAATACTTGAAAGTATTAAACTTTTTGTGTTGCCTGGTTAACATTTTACTTATTTTTTTTTTCTTTCAGAGTTTGGAGCTGTCTGCTTAATATTTTCTGCAACACTAGCTTATTTCCCACCCCGGCCTCCTCTTCCTCCCAGCGTTGCTGCAGCTAGCCAGCGGCTGAGTTATCGGCGGAGCTTTTGTAGATTGTTAAGGTAGCTATACTTAGAGTCATTGGATGGTTTTGACTGATACCTTTAAGATAATCTCACTTTTTTTTTTTTTTTTTTTTTGAGACAAAGTCTCACTCTGTTGCCCCAGCTAGAGTGTAGTGGCATCATCCTAGCTCCCTACAACCTTGAACTTCTGGGCTCAAGCAATCCTCCTGCCTCAACCTCCTCAGTAGCTCAGACTACAGGTGTGAGCCACTGGGACCAGCGTATTTTTCTATTTTTAGTAGAGATAGAGTCTCACTCTTGCTCAGGCTGGTCTCGAACTCCTGACCTCAAGCAATCCTCCAGCCCTGACCTCCCAGAGTGCTAGGATGACAGGCATCAGCACCCCACCAGCCTACATCTTTGGTATTATAATATTAATATTAGAAAGGTCTTATATACTACAAGCCATTATTTGGAGCTTAATTAAAGATCTGAGACTTCTGTAAAATACTTTTTTTAGTCTTTTCCTCATAATTTTTAACAAATTTCTATAGCTAAAAAATAATTTCTTTTACTATCTCTGCATCCAAAATGGTTTTTTAGTGCAAGAATCCAAACCATTATATAGCTGGCCAAATTTTAAGTTCAGATCTGTTAAAAATCATTTAAATGTCTGTTGGACATTTAATTCTGATTTCAGGCAACTAATTTTCTTTATTCTGTTTTGATCATTGAGAAGAAGCTTTTTGTAATATTCAGTATGTATTTGCTGAAAATGTCTCTTTTTATTATTCACTTAATTATCTTAAAATTTTTTTCCATAGCAGACATTTCATTTTGCCCTGCTGCAGCAAATTGCCATTGCCATTCGTTGTGAAATTTGCAACATACCTTCTTCCAATTCAGTCTGTTTATTTTCTTTCTACATGATATATCCAAATAATCAAATTACAATGTCATATCAGTGTGTTAAGAAAATAATTAGAGCTGAATCAGTTCATTGACACCAAGAAGATCAGCGATGGGTTGTAACACTAGAAACCACACATGCCCCAATGTGCGCAGTATAATAGTATCTTAGCATTGCAGCTGTTAAAGTAAACTGTAGTCCTACCAGAAAAATTAAGTTGTATTTAATGTAAAAGTACTTCCCACTGCTTTTGTTTTTAAATTTAGATTTAAATTAAAGTGAAGTAAACTTAAAAACTCATTTCCTCAGTTGCACTAGCCACATTTCAAGTGCTGTGTAACATTGTTTTTCAAACGTTAGTTCACAGCCAACTAATTTAGTAAGTTGACCATTATCTTTTTTTTTTAAGCAAAGTAGAATGGAATAAAATAGAACAGAAAATATTATTGCATTACGGATGTGTAGCAAGGATACATTTTTTTTAAACCTTTGTTTCAAAATACACGT